TGTAACAACAAGGTAACGGGGACCCTGTCACGACAAGGTAACGGGGACCCTGTAACAACAATGTAATGGGGACCCTGTAACAACAATGTAACGGGACCCTGTAACAACAATGTAACGGGGACCCTGTAACGACAATGTAACGGGGACCCTGTAACAACAGGTAACGGGGACCCTGTAACAACAGTGTAACGGGGACCCTGTAATAACAAGGTTACGGGGACCCTGTAACAACAATGTAACGGGGACCCTATAACAACAAGATAACGGGGACCCTGTAACAACAGTGTAACGGGGACCCTGTAACAACAAGATAACGGGGACCCTATAACAACAGTGTAACGGGGAACCTGTAACAACAGTGTAACGGGGACCCTGTAACAACAATATAACGGGGACCCTGTAACAACAATGTAACGGGGACCCTATTATAACAAGGTTACGGGGACCCTGTAACAACAATGTAACGGGGACCATGTAACGACAATGTAACAGGGATAACGGGGACCCTGGGACAAAAAGGTTACGGGGACCCTGTAACAAAAATGTAACGGGGACCCTGCAACAACAGGTAACGGGGAACCTGTAATAACAAGGTTACGGGGACCCTGTAACAGCAATATAACGGTGACCCTGTAACAACAGGTAACGGGGACCCTGTAACGACAATGTAACGGGGACCCTGTAACGACAAGGTACCGGGGAACATGTAACGACAATGTAACGGGGATAACGGGGACCCTGTGACAAAAAGGTTACGGGGACCCTGTAACAACAAGGTAACGGGGACCCTGTAACAACAAGGTAACGGGGACCCTGTAACAACAAGGTAACGGGGACCCTGTAACAACAAGGTAACGGGGACCCTATAACATAAAGGTTACGGGGACCCTGTAACAAGAAGGTTACGGGGACCCTGTAACAACAAGGTTACGGGGACTCTGTAACAAGAAGGTTACGGGGACCCTGTAACAACAAGGTAACGGGGACCCTGTAACAACAAGGTAACGGGGATAATGGGGACCCTTTGATAAAAAGGTAACGGGGACCTTTTAGTCGCAGATAATGCATTGGAAAGAATAAGTCTGACCAAAATCAATACAGAGAGGGAGATTTACAGGGTTGAACGTCCTTTTAGCAGCTTATGTCATTTAAGAAGTTAATGACCTTTCAAAACAAAATATATCATGACGTTATGCAAATCGTTTCAAATTGACAGATTAAAGCACACAAACGAAACTAAATGCTCGCTTTAAATATGACCTTAACTCGACCCGTAGAAATATCCTACTTTTTCATATCTTATACGTGTAACTTATATGTTTCATAAGTTATATTTGATATGATTCAAAGGAATTATTAGTGATTCAGCATTTAACCTATGCATTGTGATTATATGAAGTAAATCTGCTTCACGGGCAAATTTAATCCCTTACATGAAACTACACATCATATGAAGATGGCTAAAATGAACTGGATATAAACATTACTTGACCTAGAAAGGGGGATGGGGACAACGGGTCGTGAAATGTTTACTTGACCTAGAAATTTATCAATTCGCAAGTTTGTACACAGCTTTTCATTGAAAACGTATTTGATTAAACATGATTGAGAAACGAGATACTGCAACGTCTTTTATATTGTACGTCACTCACAAAACAAACACTTGCCAATTTGCCCGACAATAGACTGTTGCGTGCAACGGCCAGACTTTTGATTACAGTTTTCCAAAATACGCTGTACCATGTTACACAATCTCATCGCTTTAAACCAATTTACCAACATACAATCTTCTTATCACGCTTTTATAAGAGAGAGAAAAAATACCCAAGGAAAATGTATCCGTATAGTTGTTGAAAATGCAGTTTTCTGAAAAGAAAACAATCTAGCCATGCAAAAAACGGGTGTACACCAAACATGAAACTATTCCTAAAACAGTGTTGTTTTATCTTCACCGCTTCTATACCATACCAAACAAACACACACAAAAACAAGGATTCAAAAACGAAACAGGTAATTCAAAAACATTTAGATTAATGATTCGAAACACAAAAAAAGCTTGTGTTCCTGTGTTGGTCGCGTTAACCTGTGCACAGTCACACTCGCACGACAGTCCATGTCCTATAGCTATAGTCTGGCTTTTTCCCATCGTCAAATCAAGTGAAAATGTTTGACTAACTTAACAGGAGAAGTTACTCTAAACAAGAAAAAACACTCTTTTTATTACTTTCCCTGTACCACTGCCAAAAATGAAACTATGCATTCGAAAGTTTTTTGCAAGACTAAATTAAAGTATACCCTGTGGTACTTTCATACATAATGGAGATGAAGTATTATTTGGGGTCAGACTGCGATTCGAACCATTGACGGAAGTGCACAAGCCGAAAAGTTCAGGGAATGTTATTAATTAGTATATATACATGTAGGAAACACGGCAGTGCAGTGGGACAGGGATCATATTAGGTATGACGCCAGGTCTAAACATAGTATGTCGGAACCACACCCAGCTATTACCATTCACTGATCACTTTTCACGGATCGACGGTATTATTTAGCATGCGCCTAATGTTATATAATAACTATATATTTATAAGATTTAGACGTGAGGTAGAATTCTATAACAACTATATATCTATAAGATTTAGACGTGCGGTAGAATTCTCTAATAACTATATATCTATAAGATTAAGACGTGCGGTAGAATTCTATAAATTCGTCGTGTTTCCACTTCATAATAAAAAGTCAACAGTACAGCTGGTACTGTTCATTTCGCGAAATAAATATCGTGAAATGTCACTTCAACGAATACTATCATATATGTTTTCGTGAAAACGAAGCCTAATTTTGAGCATTGTACATGCTGACAAAGTTGAATAAAAAGTAGTCTTTTTATGTTAAGAATACAGTTATCTCTGTGTCCATTTTTTATCAAAAATCTGATGATACGGAAATGACCGACGGAAATCAGGCATTCACATTCGGGGCCCTTTTTAGGACGTTTTAATCAACTTCAGAATAAAAAAGCTAGGAAATACGGGAACCCGGAAGTTCGAAAGTTAGGACAGGAGATAAGGGTTGTGACGTCAACCAACGTTATAAACCACAGGACAAGTTTATCATATGTATAATTTAGTGGTTCGTAGGTGCAACTGTAAAAAAACAGGTGTCCAACTTTATCATATGTATAATTTAGTGGTTCGTAGGTGCAACTGTAAAAAAACAACAGGTGTCCAACTTTACTATGAAATTGACTGTCACATCCGCATGTTTTATTCGTGGAACGAAGACATTATGACATTATGAAACTGCAAGTTACACAACAGCTAAGCCGGATGATCACGGTTTTATACAACACGGATCTTGAGTCACGCAATAGTTAAATCTTCTTTCCACATGGGCTAGGTACACGGTACTTTTTCTGTGAGATTTTCTGTTGGCTGTATAATGCTTATATAGATACTATCATTTAACAAGCCCCTGTTGGTCATTTAGATAAATTACACACGTGTCAATAAATGCAGCATTACCATAAATTTACATTTTCGCTGCAAGTCAAGATACACAGGGTTTTGAACGCAACGGAATCAGTGGCATTTGCCGCTTGTCTTCCACTCATTCCACTCATGCTAAAACAAAAAGCAGTCGTATTACAACTCAGGTGACTGTTACGGTTTATGTATTTTCTTGTTAATTGTCTTTTCTGATCTGCCAACGGATTACTTCTGTAACTATAGTTTAATGTATAGTTTAAATCAAGAAAAGATCAACAAACTCCACGCGACAGATTTTTAGAAAGCTCGTTTTTGCATGACGGCAATCAAAGATCAAGTAACATTTTCTGTTTGTTCGGGGTTATTTTTTATTTTGTTCTCTCTCAAATTAAGAGCTTAACATATGGTCCTGAAATGCTCGCCATTTCATTAATCAGATGCGTCGTCGATTCAACTGAACCCAGATGTAATAAAAGTAATCTCGGTAAGGACACACTTGTTTTTGTTCCTTAATTAATGGTTAATTACTGGTTCTTTAATCTAACATCCGATTTATTAAAAAGCTTCTTAGCGAACACGATGTGTCTTAGATTCTGTTGAAAAATAAGGGACATATGTCATAGTTAATTATATAGGATTTTCCAAAGAGTGACGTGTAAATAGCAACAACCCCCATTAAGTATATTTCATGAACTATAACAGTGTACTTTGTAACAATTAGTTGATGAAGGATTTAAATATCTCGTAATAAAAATAAGTGGGGTCACTCCAACACAATTAGGTATGATAATGTGTAATGTAACGATCTTCTTCAAGTACTTGTATAATAGTTCAATTTGGTTTCACTTTTTAAGTTTTTAAAGACACGTTATCATAGTAACGACTTGAACCTTACAACCAGCTTGATGCTACTTTCAAACGAAAATTCTTTTATATTTATTTAAATCTCTGATCATCGGTGCACTACAAGTGAACTGAACGTAGAACTCATTACAATAATCGTATGTATGCATGTGTCCTCTGATAAAATGAGGTGTTGAGTCACTGAGCAGGTAGATTACACGTTACACTGATATGCACTCGTGTTTAAAAATATCACGACTGTATCTTTTCGTTGCGATAATAAAGAAATTCAAGTTGACCAATATACACGCCAAGAGTCTTGTTAGCCAGAAGGAAAACAACGTAAAGTTTACATAGCTAATTATTTTCTTGACTTCATGAATCATCATTTAAAACTGCAACTTATACAAAAAGTTACTATTACTTAAAAATATGAAACATGACACCATTCGTGAAATCTATCAATTTTTATTAAAAATGGTTATTTTTAAGTTTGAAATTTTCTACTGTAGACCTAACAAAGCTTTATAAACACACGAATTTCTCTGCTTTTGTGGTAAAATAGGATTTGTTTCCCAACATTTATAGTATATTTCACAGAATCCGTGACTGAAATAAAAGTATACACACATATATATATATATATAATTATCTGTATCTATAAATTACCTTAGCTGTTCCGGGTAGACCTCGCTTTAGTTCAATCTGCAGTTCTGCGATTTCATCGGAATTTAATACCTTGTAAATCATCCTCGGTAGTGGGGGTTCAGTGGTGATCAATTTACCACGACATTATAAGTGGTATCGATGGATTAAAGAGTTACCGGCCATCTTTACTGGAGAACATCCCCACAACACGCTGTCACCGACTGGCTATGGGTAGTCAGTACAGGTATATAAGAAACCAGGTGAAACGACTTATTTTTAGCTGTACATTTAAATATGGCAGCCCAGGCAGGTCGTACTACACGAAGCATATCGACTTTAACACTCAAGCGTAGATGAAGTCTGTGTATGGCGTGTATTGGTGTATAAACTGATAATGTAAGGCAGCCATGCTACACATGCATATGATGTATGCATCAAATATGGCATTAGAGGGTGTATATGCTTTATATTCTAAGCAAGATGTGTTATGTTGTACATACTGAATACTTTAAATATTCTGTGTATATAATGGTGTGTATGCATTGTATGTGTAAATGTATATACGGTATGTATATTGAAAAAGATGTATATAATGTATATTGTGTGGCTATTGTCACTGGTGTGTATATTGTCACTGGTGTGTATATTGTATATGGTGTGTGTACTGTATATGGTGTGTATATTGTATGTTGTATGTATATTGTATATGGTGTGTGTACTGTATATGGTGTGTATATTGATGACGTATAATATGGTGTGTATAATGTATATGGTGGTTATAATATTTATGGTGTGTATACTGTATATGATGTGTATACTGTATATTGTGTGTATATTGTATATTGTGCGTATGCTGTATATGGTGTGTATCTTGTATATGGTGTGTATAATGTATAGTGTGTGTATATTGAATATGGTGTGTATATTGTATATGCTGTGTATATTGTATATTGTGTGTTTAATGTCTATGGTGTGTATATTGTATATTGTGTGTATGCTGTATATGGTGTGTATATTGTCTATGGTCTGTATACTGTTAATGGTGTGTATATTGTATATGGTGTGTAGATTGTATATGGTGTGTATATTATATATGGTGTGTATACTGTTAATGGTGTGTATATTGTATATGCTGTGTATATTGTATATTGTGTGTTTAATGTATATGGTGTGTATATTGTTGTGTGTATATTGTATATTGTGTGTATATTGTATATTGTGCGTATGCTGTATATGGTGTGTATATTGATGACGTATATAATGGTATGTATATTGTATATGGTATGTATATTGTATATGGCGTGTATATTGTATATCGTGTGTATATTGTATATGGTATGTATATTGTATATACATTATACACACCATATACATTATACACACCATATACAATATACATACAACATACAATATACACACCATATACATTAAACACACAATATACAATATACACAGCATATACAATATACACACCATTAACAGTATACATTCCATATACAATATACACACCAGTACATACAGCATACACACCATATACAATATACACACCTGTGACAATAGACACACAATATACATTATATACATCTTTTTCAATATTCATACCGTATATACATTTACACATACAATGCATACACCCCATTATATACACAGAATATTTAAAGTATTCTGTGTATATAATGGTGTGTATGGATTGTATGTGTAAATGTATATAAGGTATGTATATTGAAAAAGATGTATATAATGTATATTGTGTGTCTATTGTCACTGGTTTGTATATTGTATATGGTGTGTATATTGTATATGGTGTGTATACTGTATATGGTGTGTATAATGTATATGGTATGTATATTGTATATGGTATGTATACTGTATATGGTGTGTATAATGTATATGGTGTGTATATTGTATATGGTGTGTATACTGTATATGGTGTGTATATTGTATATGGTGTGTATATTGTGTATTGTGTGTATATTGTATATGGTATGTATATTGTATATGGTGTGTATATTGTGTATTGTGTGTATATTGTATATGGTGTGTATATTGTATATTGTGTGTATATTGTATATGGTGTGTATATTGTATGTTGTATGTATATTGTATATGGTGTGTATATTGTGTATTGTGTGTATATTGTATATGGTGTGTATATTGTATATGGTGTGTATATTGTATGTTGTATGTATATTGTATAGGGTGTGTATATTGTGTATTGTGTGTATATTGTATATGGTGTGTATATTGTGTGTATATTGTATGTTGTATGTATATTGTATAGGGTGTGTATATTGTGTATTGTGTGTATATTGTATATGGTGTGTATATTGTGTATTGTGTGTATATTGTATATGGTGTGTATATTGTGTGTATATTGTATGTTGTATGTATATTGTATAGGGTGTGTATATTGTGTATTGTGTGTATATTGTATATGGTGTGTATATTGTGTATTGTGTGTATATTGTATATGGTGTGTATATTGTACATGTATATGATGTGTGTATTGTATGGTGTGTATATTGTATATTGTGTGTATATTGTATATGGTGTGTATAATGTATATTGTGTGTATATTGTATATGGTGTGTATATTGTACATGTATATGATGTGTGTATTGTATATGGTGTGAATACTGTCTATGGTGGGTATATTGTATATCGTGTGTATATTGTATATGATATGTATATTGTATATGGTGTGTATACTGTTAATGGTGTGTATCATTTTTATGGTGTGTATACTGTATATGGTGTGTATACTGTTAATGGTGTGTATCATGTTTATGGTGTGTATACTGTATATGGTGTGTGTACTGTATATGGTTGGTATACTGTATATGGTTGGTATACTGTATATGGTTGGTATACTGTATATGGTGTGTATAATGTATATGGTGGTTATAATATTTATGGTGTGTATACTGTATATGATGTGTATACTGTATATTGTGTGTATATTGTATATGGTGTGTGTGGTGTATGGTGGATATTCTGTATGTGTTGTGTGTACTGTATATTGTGTGTGTATTGTATATGGAGTGTATACTGTATTTGGTGTGCGTACTGTATATTGTGTGTGTAATGTATATGGTGTGTATATTGTATATGGTGTGTATATTGTATATGATGTGTATATTATATATGATGTATATACTGTATATGGTGTGTATATTGTATATGATGTATATACTGTATATGATGTGTATATTGTATATGATGTATATACTGTATATGGAGTGAATACTGTATATGGTGTGTATATTGATGACGTATATAATGTATATGGTGTGTATACTGTATATGGTGTTTATATTGTATATACGTTATGTATATTGTATATGGTGTGTATGCTGTATGTGTTGTGTATATTGAATATGGTGTGTATAATGTAAATGGTGTGTATAATATATATGGTGTGTATACTCTATAAGGTGTGTATAATGTATATGAATATAGGGAGCAATCAATATTGTTGGATGTGTATACACTTTGTATACATGCCATAGAATATGTGATGAGTTTAATATTGCTGGATACATTGTCATGTGTATGTTATGAAAAGAAATACTGAATACAAATTTAATCGAATAAACTTAACTATTAAAAGAGTTTTTAGGTTTATACTATACTATAAATAATATGATATTCATAGTGTTTTACAGAGTTCCATTTCCTTACACCGAAAGTTATTCAATTATTGACGTCATATTTTAAATGTTCAAAGAACTGTGTACATTAAAAATCAATTGAAAGCTTGTCTATGGGAGAGAACTCTCGATCTGGACGTGATTACAGTGGATTAGCTCAGTAACAACGACACATGTACGTGATATCAGAGATCTGTGGATCTGCTTTTTTTTATACAGAGAATCATGTATTTTTACCATTTCGAGGGAAAGACTTTAAATCATGCAATATTTTTCGGTCAGTTTATTTTCTCCGTCATAATTTCAATCTTAATCGGAGAATTTCGAGAGGTGTCTGTGTTTCTTATATGATTTTACTTCGGGCACGCGCAATTTGCAACTTTCCGAGCAATGGTTTGAATGACAAAATACATGTACCAAATACCAACTTATTAAAAATGCTGTGGTGTAAACTTGATAGATTCGGTAGGTAATACGAATTAAGTGCTGATCTCTAGCGAGTAAGGCATACTTTTAGATCTTAGAACAACTACGTATACGCATGCTAAGGTTTTCTTTTCAGAAATGAATTATCAAAGCGCTAATCATTCCGGAAAACAGCTTTTTGTGAATTGTTACGGTTTTTTGAGAGTGGAACGGGGATCTTTCATGTAAAGGGTATTAACACGTTAAACTATATAATAACTATTGTCATTGCTGTGAAATAATTAAGTCCTTTTTTAAAAGAATTATTTTTGAAAAAATCGCATGTCGCAATGCCTTTTACTGAATTATAGTTGTTAATTTGAATGTTTAAAAACAGAAATAAAAAAGAAAACAGAATCTTTGCAGGGGTTGAACTCAGGACTATTAAATTGCAGGGCCTCGGCTTTACCAATCTTGCAATCCAGAAATTATAGAAGCACAGTATTTAAATCAGTTTATAGATAAGTAAGAGAAAAAGTAAACGTGGCTTTCGTATCAGGATAATCTTATGTTGTAATTCAAACAAAATGGCTGCTATAAAACTTAAAACGACTTTTAAAATAACCAAAAGGCCTAGGGTGATGGTTTTCGGCTAGTAACATGGTTGGTGGAAGTCTATTATATTTGTTCAAATGAATGACCTTCTCTCATATTCAAGGTCACAGGAGCTAAATATGTTGAAATATTCAAACAACTTCCCCTGAAAAAACAGAAGATAAAGGGTGATGATATTTGGTCTAAGTTTGTTCAAATGAAAGACCTTTACCAAAGTCACTGAGGCGAACATGTTAAAACGTGTGTGAAATGTATTTTATCTCAAAAATATGTTGAAAAACATTTAAACATCTTAGTCTGAAATGTGGCTAGTTGCATGCTCAGATAAGAGCTATAAGCGTTTTTTAGAAATTTAAATAACTTCTTCTGAATAACCAAATGCTGGTGATATTTAGCCAGTAGCATGCTCAAATGAAGAGCGATCAAGTTTGTTTATGTGAATTACCTTGACCTAATTTTAAGGTCATATGGTCAACTGTGAATACACCTTTAAATGACCTTATCTCAATGAACAATACGGCAAGTTGCATGCTGGGCTGAAGGGCTATACAGTTTGTTCAATTGAATGACCTTGTAAGACTTTC